GTGGTGTGCCTAGAGCAGCTAGCTCAGTGCCCTGAAGCAGCGGACCGGCAGGGGACGGCCGTACTAGCTGCTCTAGATACCTCCGTAGAGGTAGCGAGCCTCTAAGTACCGCTACGTTTCCGGGCGGTTACTGAGAGAAGTGCTCGCCGGAGACCACTGCGCCCTAGAATACAGCAGGGTTGGCAGACCGACCTCCTGAGGGCACTGAGGAGAGACGGGCACCGTGTAATGCGGTGTACACCGCTCTCCCCCAGAGGGAGCTGGCCCTCAAAAAGTCCTAGGCCTTAGGCGTCAGAACATTTACGACGAAGACTATCCAGCGAGAATTACGGTCCACAGACCCGCCTTCTGCTAGAAGCCTTCGGCCTGGGAGCGCCACTCTGACTCTAGACTCTGCGGAGTACGAGAAGTGAGGCCCCCAGAATGAGGGGCTGGAACACGGTGGGTTGGGACTGCTCCGCCCAGCAGCCCCTGCTAACCGCCTCAACCTCCTCAGAGGAAGAGAGGTTAACGCGCGTTCTCATTCGAGAAATTTATATCCCAAGAGCCTCTGTATATCTAACTTCTCGTAGTCAGACAAATACTTCATTTTATTCCTCAGAATTAAATGCAATCAAACAACCAGACGAGTAAATACGGTCTAGTGTAGTAAAGTTTCACATCAAAAACCGAAATGATGTAATATATGCGCTGTGCGCGAGCCATTCAGTCACACGAACAACATCAATCAGCGAGACCGCAATCGCAAGATCACAGGCACGGACACACTCCTCGGAGCGTGCTCGGCGAGAGCGGAGTGCTTAACAGCGGAAAAAACACAATCCGCCCCCCAGGAGCCGACTGCGCGAGCTCCGCTCCCTATTAATGCTGCTCATTATAATATCAGGCATAATATGCTTGTGTAACTGATGTTTGTGCAACTGGTGAGCTCATTTCTCCTCGGAGAAAGACAGGCGGAGCATCGCGCCCTCTCCCCGGTGGGAAGGACCGCAGCTCGGGCTTCCGAAACCACGAGAGCGGGCGCCGGATCTGGTGATTAGGAGGCAGATACATACGCGAAACCCACTAGCACAGCCGCCGCTCCGCCTCAGCGAAAGCGGGGCCGGCACCGCGAGGAACGCTAGTGAAGGCTCCCTCCTCAAAGAGAGCCCTCTGAGAGCGAAGCACTTGGGCTCCACCTAGGTATCCTAGGATACCTACTTTAACAGGGTGTTGCTACTAGGGGTCTGTTGAGACAGTTCCTTTAAGAGCTTATGCAAGAGCAAGCGGTAGCCCCTGTGTGACAGGCCAAGACTTAGTATGATACTAGGCTCTTGGTCGTATCCCCTTAAAGGAATTCATTTTGATTCCAAGCCTGGAGCTCTACCCCGGGCCCAGGAGTCTGGCCCTAACAGGTAAGTTTGGGAATGTAGCCTAGGCCTTTGGCCTTAGGGGATAAAGTCACGGACAGCTGTCTGACGTCCCAGGGGCAGCTCACCATGAAAATGGTAAAGTTGGTACTTAGTGCTCGCCATGGTTCTGGCCCGCATTCCCCTCAGCATGGTGGCGTGGGTATACCGTTCCCCATAGCGACCCCTAGAGGACACAGTTCGAAGTTCCCATGAAAGGGAACGTCTCAGGTTACTTATGTAACCATGGTTCCCTGAGTAGGGAACGAGACACTGCGTCCTCTAGGCGTCCTACCAAGTGAATGACATGTTCTCCCGGCGCCTATTTATACTAATAGTCGGACCGGTAGTGACGTCATGGGCTGTCCCCGGCCAACGTGTTGTTGGTGTTTTTCAATGTATGCTTCAGACACGGGTCACGACGAAGCGTTCCCCATAGCGACCCCTAGAGGACGCAGTGTCTCGTTCCCTACTCAGGGAACCATGGTTACATAAGTAACTTGAGATGTTTTTGCTCACTCTTTCTGGGACATTCCCTTCATATATAAAACTAAGCCATTTCACTTTTTTTTTTTCTGAGGTTGGTATTCTGTGTAAGTATGCATGCCAGGATCGCTTCATTGTTCAAACGTACTAAAACAAAAGACACCTTCGTTATGCGCTTCGCTATCTGTGTACAAAATGGGGTGGGAAGAGGGCGGACTCTGGATTAGTCTCCTCCGCATCACCCTAGTGCCATTTTGGAGAGTATCCACTGAGCGCAAACAGCGTATGTTGCTCTGTGTCAGTCACACCACACAGTGAATACTCTCCAAAATGGCGCTAGGGTGACGAGGAGGAGATGAGTTGTTGAATAAAGTCTTTTTTTTTCTTTTGCGCACAAAATGTATTCTCGTACTTTTGTAATATTACGGTTGAACCCCTGATGTCACATGGATTATTTTACCGATCTCCTTGCTATGTTTCTGGACATTGAGCGTGGTAGTACCCTTGCTGTCTATGGGAGGGTCAGAGAGCTATCAGAATGCATCACAAATATCTTAATTTGTGTTTCGAAGATGAATGACGGTCTTACGGATTTGGAACGACATGAGGGAGAGTAATTAATGACAGAATTTTCATTTTTGGGTGAACTAACCCTTTATGTCTGTAAACTAATCAATACAAGAAAAAAAAAGTAGATTTGTTTTCGAGAATCGGATCCTGAATCCTAGAATCAGAATCGGATCAGATTGTGAGGTGCATAAAGATTCTCACCCCAGGTCGATGGGACGCAAACGGAATTCTATAACTTTTTCTGATAGTATTTAGGACCCACTAAGAGACACTGGGTAGTAGTTGCCATGCGGTCACAAAATCTGACAGAGCTTGTTTCGTGCCCTAAAACAGCATATCATTAGTTAGACTTGCTTAAAAAAAAGCATGCATAACGATTGCCTCAAAGGGACAGTTCATCCAAAAATGAAAATGATCTCATAGTTCACTCACCCTCAAGCCATCCTAGGAGTATATGACTTTCTTCTTTATCCTATATTAATATTGTCCTATATTATATTAATAAACATCATGGCTCTTCCAAGCTTGTAATGATAGTGAATGGCTGCCATGAGTTTGAAGCTCAAAAAAGTGCATACATCCATCAGAAAATGTACTCCACATGGTTCCGGGGGTTACTAAAGGCCTTCTGAAGCGAATCAATGCATTTGTGCAAGAAAAATATCCATATTTAACACTTATATTGTAAAAAAAAAAAAGGCTCTCGTTTTGGCTAAACTGGCATACGGATTTGACTTACGAATCCGTAAGTTACGCTTTAGACCTAAGTTGAATCTGTATGACCGTTTTCAGACCTCAATTCCTTGTAATGATTTCACTCACACAACACAATTTCTTTGAAGATATAGACCCATGCTCAACAAACATCCAGCTTCTGAAGACAAAGAAGCTGATGATGCACATTTCATGCATCTATTTATGGCCTGCATTGACACGCTATGTTGTGTCACCACGTCCATAAGTTCGATGATACTCATAAGTGTCATCTTCCATGGAACTCAAACCTCTCATGGCAGAGACAAAAAATTGGCTGGAGGGGGAGCTGTCAATCTAGAACTAATGGACCAGTGGTGGTGATTAAGCCCGCCCTAATTTACATGAACTGCAACATTTAGAAAAGAAATCACAGAAAGCTAAAAGAAGAGCAGAGAAAACCAGGACACACACACACAAAATAAAAATAAAATATGATTAGAAAATGTCAGAGAGCACAAAATACAGGACAATAAAACCAAGTACAACATTATTTTGAGTGTGTTTCAGATACTTTTGCATTTGTGTTTACCTTTTATGCAGTATAATAAGGGATTGAGAAGACATCACATGTTGATGCTATATTAATTATTTCTATGTTGCAGATCACGTCACAATGCCACACTTATAAATCCAGGTCCTCCAGCGCTTTACCAACTGAAAACTGAAAGAAAATATATTGATGGGACTAACAGAAAGGTCAGACGATGGACATACGGACAAAAAGATAGAAACAAGCAGAACAAAGTCATACTGATGGTGGGAGAAACCGGCGCTGGGAAAACAACCATCATCAACACCATGATCAACTACTTACTGGGAGTGAAGTTTAAAGATCAAGAGTTTTCTCAAATCACAGAAGAAGAAGAAGATATAAATGAATCACAATCCCATGCACATCAGATGACTGTTTATGAAGTGTTTGTTGAAGAAAACCCAACATCTCTGACCATCATTGACACTCCAGGATACGGAAACACTGAAGGATACGAGAAAGACCGAGAGATTTCTGAGTATCTGATGAGATTATTTTCAGATGAGGATGGGATTCATTATATTGATGCAGTGTGTTTTGTGATGAAGGCGTCTCAGAATCGACTCTCTGAAAAAGAGTTTTACATCTTTCACTCAGTTCTGTCTCTGTTTGGTAGAGATATAGAGGAGAACATAGTGTTTCTACTCACATATTCAGATGCAGGACCTCCAACAGATGCTCTTAATGCCATTAAAACAGCAGAAATACCCTGCAGAAGAGATGAGAGAGAAAAACCTGTTCACTTCTTATTCAACAACCAGCAGAAACAGCAAAGAGACAAGCAGTATGAACATGCATTCAGATCATCATGGGAAATGGGAGAGAGAAGCTTGAATGAGTTCTTCACACTCCTGGCTGAAAAGAACAGAAAAAGTGTTGTGATGACATCAGATGTTCTGAACGAGCGAAGACGACTTGAGGCCTGTGTGTCTTATCTGAAGGAGCAAATTAGTGAGAAAGAGTTAAAAACGGAAGAACTGAATAAGGTTAAGGAAGCCATCATAAAGAACAGAGACAAAATTAAAAAATTTGAAAACTTTCCGTTTACAGTCAAAACAGCTGTGAAAGAAAACGTCTCCACTGAAAATGAATGGTGGTGGAACAGAAATGCAACCTGCTGCTCCGACTGTGAGGAAAACTGTCATGAGCACTGCTCAGATGAAGAACCTTCAAAGTGTTCAGTCATGAAAAACAATCAATGCACTGTGTGTACAGGAAAGTGTCATTACAGCAAACATGTTAGAGAGAACAAAAAATATGTGACAAAGACAATCACTTTGACATTTGTTGACTTGAAACAGGAGTATGAACACACTGGTGAAAAGCCTAAAACCAGCTTTCAAAAATACATTTTTGAAAACATTACAAAGGAACATAAAAGTCACATGACAGAGTTTCAGAATAAAATAAAAATAGAAGAAAAAGTGAAGAGCGAACTTGAGAAGATGAAAAATGAAAAGTCCAAACTGCTTCATGAAGCTTATGTGACAGTCATGAATCTGTCAGAGATTGCACTTAAATCAGACAGCGCTTTCACTCTTCAACATCTGGATTTCTTGATTCCCAGACTGAAGGAGGAGGGAAAAGATGAATGGATGAAGAACCTGGAGGATCTGAGGAAAGCTGGAGAAGAGAGGAAGAACAAAGGGGCTTTATGTCACGTCATGGAATTTGGTGGGCAAAATATTTACCTATTTGAAAATTGCAGTACTGATAAAAATGAATAAATGCAACAAGTCTGAAAACATAAGATGAAAAAGCAAAAATGATGCTGATATATCAGAGAAAATAATTCACGTTCCAAAGTACCATTATGAAATTACTTAACATCTGATATTTCTAATTTTATTTTTCAAAATCAATTTAATATAAAATAAAGAATCCATATTTGGAATCTAGGAATTTAATCAACTTTATTAGCCAAGTATTGTCATCAGTATGAGGCACACATATGCACTGTAGTTGCAGGTACCAAATTCAATGCTTAGCAGACAACAAAAATGATTAAATATAACAACCTTATGGTTTTACACAAGATGAAAAATAAAGATAATATGAATGTATAAGTCAAATGGTATTTAAAAGGTTTATAGCTTCAAAATAAATAAATAATCTGAAATCTGACAGTTCTCATGTTAACCAATCTTTAACAGACAGTGTAAGGGGTGATGTAAGGCTCTTGTTTCTTGACTCTGGACAAATGCAGAACCTGAAGGGAAGTTCTGCCACTCTAACTACTCTGATAATATGGACAGTGTTACTTAAAGGGGTCATATGATGCTGCTAAAAAGAACATTATTTTGTGTATTTGGTGTAATGAAATGTGTTTATGCGGTTTAAGGTTAAAAAAACACATTATTTTCCACATACTGTACATTATTGTTTCTCCTCTATGCCCCGCCTTTCTGAAACGTGTCGATTTTTACAAAGCTCATCGGTCTGAAAAGCGAGGTGTGCTGTGATTGGCCAGCTATCCAGTGCGTTGTGATTGGCTGAATACCTCAAGCGTGTGACGGAAATGTTATGCCCCTCACCATATTGTGATGCCTGCGGCAACCACATGTGACGACCCCGGGCTGGACTCCGCTTCGCCCACGGTGAAAGTCGATCCGGCGATCCACAGCACTAAGTTGATGTATTTCCTCAGCGACCAGCACGGATCAGCTCTAGGTATGACGAAGCGATATCGTCCTCTTTTGGAAGACCAAACAAAGTAGTTTCACTTTCACAACGAAACACACAGAACACAAATACACAGTGCCTTCACGACATGGTGGCGGCGGCGGCGGCAACAATACTACAGCGAGAATAAAATTTACGCCTTCTTTCTTTGCGTGAACATTTGGGCGGCGTTATGCAAATCTTCCCACATAGTGAGGTAGATATGTGGGGGCGTTTTAGAACGAGGCGTTTTAGGTAGGCGTGGCTGACTCTTAACTTTGATAAAGAATATCTCTTTGGATTTGAGACTTTAGTCTTTGCAACTTTACAGATCTTCTTTATGCACCAAGAGCTTGTAACACTCCAAAGAGAAAGGAACAATTGAAATCGCATCATATGACCCCTTTAAGATCCCTGCAGATGTAAGTGGCAAGGAACTTGTAGGATTCAACTATTTATTATTAATATTAAGTGGAGTCAAACAGGAAGGGTTTTTCTTACAAAATGCATTACATTAAAAAAAGACAAATTATTATAATTTATACAAGCAACTATTTATTGTTTACATACACAGAAATTACACAGACAACAGCAGCACTCACCTGGAACAATAGTGTTTTAATAATGTGATTGATTTACATTTTTGATCCACTTCTGATGCACATCATATAATGGTTCACTTGTGTTATGTAATTGAAGCAGCGGCATCATCCACTCATGACCGCCGGCACAAGAGCTTGGATGAACCTCCCGAAATAATGTGAGAAAACATTATTATGCATTAATTCAGAAGATTGCAATAACTGGGTGTTTAAACAAACATTACATTATTTATATTATAATGCAACATTAATAAATAGTTTAAAGTATTTAATATATATACAGTAGAATAAAGCGCCATATATTATCAAAGTCATCTGCATATCAACTAATATGTTTACCATTAATAAAAACATTTATAATACAAACTGTTCTATAATTATAAACTAATATTTATTTTCTGTAGAGCCGGAGTCATTCGTCTCAGAGATGAATTTATTGAGCTCTATGAGAGAGATCACCTTGAACTACAACAGTGCACAGAGAGACTGCACAGTATTATCGAAGAATTTGAAGAAGGTTACAGACGTTCTCCTGAAGCCTCCAGAGATGCAGGATGGCTGGGAATCTGTGGAGGTGTTGCTCTGTTTGCAGGCATAGTTGCAGCTCCATTTACTCTGGGAACTTCTCTTCTTGCTACTGCTTATGTTGTTGTCACAAGAGTACTGGCACTAAGAGCTGCTCGATTTTCCCGTGGAATAAACAGCTCTAATCAAATGCCGCAGATGACAAAATTAAGACAAGACATTGAAGTTGAACTGAAAGAATTTCAGGATAAAATCAAGCCTATGATTGAAAAGATGAACAAAATTAAGCATACTGAGAAAATATTAAAAGAGCAAGATGTCATACAGATAGAAGATGTTGTTGAATTGACTGCACAGATGTCTGCAAATATGCATTCAACTGCATCACTAGCAGCAGATGTTGGCAGATTTAACTTTGTGCTTGCTATGATCTCAGTTTTAAAAAATACCAGTGTGCTCAAAGACATGAAGAAACTAGCAGAAACACCCATAGATGAAGAAATAGACGAAAGTGGGATGACATCAAAGGTTGGAAAATTCATTGTTGAAATGAAGAAATTCATTCATCAGCTACAGAACATCACCATTAAACTTCAGAAAGCAAAAGACAAAATAGTAATTTATTAGGATATAACGTGACAAAAGGAAAATGGCACAATTGAGACACATACTTGATTCAGTTAACAACAGCTAGTGACCAACATCTCTCTGCTATGAATCATAATCATTAAACAGGATACAACCATATAGGATGTGTTATGTAAGCCGCTATGCACGCTGTGTATGTGCGTCATGTTTATGTATGTGTGGTAGCGTTGTGTGTTCAAGATCCAATTGGTCCCTCAGCCTCAGTCTTTCTGATGACATTCACGCTGCCAAACACCTTTCAACACCCAGTTTTAAAAGCCTGTGTATCCCCCAGTTGTTTTGCTCAATTTGCTTTCGTTATACTGCTCTTTGCTTGTGTGTGATTTGTTGCTCTGTTTTTGTTCTGAGATTGTTTTCTGCATATTTTACGTGTGCTTAATACTTGTTAGAAGAGTCCTTTGTTGTTGATTTGTTTGTACAGTGTATAGTTGCGTTTTACTGTTCAGTCTTTCCAGTTATCACGTTGTGTGTGAGGCTGGGAAGGTGCGTGCAGGTAAGTTGGTCACGCGACATACACTGTGCAACACGTAGGACATTTTCCCTTCTGTATTAGACACACTAGGTTTTGGAGAAAGTGCCACCCTCTGTATGTTTTTTTCCGCTGTTTTTCGTTAGGCCATGTAGTTTAGTTAGGGTGTTTCTACTCCGAAGATCTTTTTCTTTCCACATTTTCTTTTTGGTAGTTAGTTTAGTTTGTTAAAACCCTCATCCGTCCCTCGGGTCATTTTGACCCAGAAATGATTTTCAAAAAAATTCTAAAAATAGTGTTGATCGTACCAGTCCAAGATTTCTTTACTTTTGTCACACTTGCACCGGGAATACACAAATGTTTTTTGAGTGGATTCGAGGAGTTTAAATGGGTGCAATAAAAAATTTTAAACAAAAAAAAAAGAGTAACAAAAAAAGTCTCCCTCACGGGTCATTATGACCCGCATAGGAATTAATGGAGTTTACGAGAAAACTGCATTTTTTATTACATTAGATTTTTTTAAATATACAAAATCTGACAATCCAGTTAAGATTTATACCCAAACGAAGGGCTGAGACTACAGAATTACCCCAGCGCACAAACACACACACAGGGCACACACACTCCCATAGACAGACATTATAACATATTTGATGTTTATGCTGTGATATGACTGTAATTTTGTCCCTTCCTTCCCTAGTCTAATCAAATTAAAAATCTTGAAGGACGCAACAGGATGTCATTTAGTTTTTTTCCACTTAAGAAAATTTATTTTTTGAAATGCAGAGTCCAAGATTGTTGTTTTTTCTCTGTTACTATTGATCAGTGTTTTGTAAATAGACTATGCTTTTTATTCCCCATATTTTCACAAAAGTCATGTTCCTACATAAAAAAATATTTATTGTAAACAAAATGTATGTGATTACAGGGTGAATAACATGGAGAAAAATATATTTAAAATGGTTTAGTAATAACTGCAAATATTGTCAAGTTTAAGTTCATAAATTCTGCACAATTATTTCAATATTACAGTACATACTATATATTTTAGAATGTTGACAATTATTGGGTGTCCACATACTTTTGACTATATGCATTTCCCAGAAGTGATCAATCATAAAAAAATACGAACACGATCAGTGGCGGCTCGTGGGTTTTAAAATAGAGAGGCACACTAATTGTATTGGTCTGGGGATCCCTGCTGATTATTATTATTATTATTTGTTTTTTGCTTAACCACTTTAAAATGGCTTTTTGGTTGCTTTTAAAAATAAATATGCAACTTATCAGTCTCACGGGAACAGAGAGCATAATCCACATTCAGTCAAAGATTTCAAGCCTGGCGTAGTTAAACCTGCCGGAGAATCTGAGGACTTGGAAGATGACATTTTTGAGGATTTCAATCATGACAACTCTTGGAAGATTTTAGCATGGTGATGGATATGACAATGTTAATGTATTTGGTCTTGGCGGAATAGATCTGCTATAAAAATGTCACGGAATGCTCACACAAAATATCCATTAGCTGTTTTATTCTCAGAGTCCAAAAAAACGTAATCCACATGAGCAAAAACAGGAAACAAAGATAGGAACAAAATGCAATACTGATGCAACTAAAGACAAAATGAACAAGGTATATATATATAGGGTTAGGCTAATGAGTCAATGATAAACAGCTGGCAGTAATGAACTAAATAATGAGTGCAAAGGGTTATGGGAAACGCAGTTCAGAACACACAAACAATGATATAAAAAGAGTGCCCTCTGGTGGCTAAGCTGGACACTCCAACAACTGGCTGTGACAAAAAATGCATAGGAAATGTTATTCAAAAGTGTCTTTCCTTTTTCTCTCTAGAGTTATTCTCACATTACTGGGTAAGTGAAACTCTCATTCCATCCTGATGATCCGACGGTAGCTGCTCGCATCTCAGCTTGTCTAACAGACATTTCTTGCTGGATGAAGGACCGTCCCCTTCAACTCAACCTGGCTAAGACAGAACTGCTTGTGGTTTCAACAAACCCATCGCTTCATCACAATTTCACCATCCAGTTTGGCTCATCAACCATAACTCCTTCAAAAACAGCCAGAAACCTTGGAGTTATGATTGATGATAAGCTGAATTTATCAGACCACATTGCTAAAACTGTCCGGTCCTGCAGATTTGCTTTATTCAACATCAAGAAGATCAGGCCCTTTCTTTCGGAACATGCTTCACAACTCCTTGTTCAAGCTCTTGTTCTGTCCAGGCTGGACTATTGCAATGTTCTCTTGGCAGGTCTTCCAGCCAGTTCTATCAAACCTTTACAATTAATCCAGAACACAGCAGCAAGATTAATTTTTAATGAGCCGAAAAGAATGCACGTCACACCTAGCTGCTCGCATAAAATTCAAGACATTGATGTTTGCCTACAAAACCACCACTGGCTCTGCACCCCTTTACCTAAATTCATTACTTCAGACTTATGTGCCCTCTAGAAGCTTGCGTTCTGCAAGTGAACGACGCATTATTGTTCATCCCAAAGAAGCACAAAATCACTTTCACAGACTTTTAAATTAACTGTTCCCTCCTGGTGGAATGACCTGCCCAACTCAGTCCCAGCAGCTGAGTACTTACCCATCTTCAAGAATCGGCTAAAAACACATCTCTTCCATCTTTATTTGACCCTCTAACTCTATTCCAATACTATTCTTAAAAAAAAAACTTTACCCCTTTTAGACTTGCACTCATTTGCTAACTGCTTGTTTTCTTAAAAAAAACAACAACTAACATTAGCTTCTCTATTCATTTTGTATTCTATCCATTGGTTTTCTTTTTGTTTATTATACAGTTAACAAAAAGTAAAAGGCCTCTAACACTAGCTTGCTCTATTATTTTTCTATTCTGTTGTCTTTTTATTTATTATTTAAAGGGGTCATATGATGCGATTTCAATTTTTCCTTTCTCTTTGAAGTGTTACAAGCTCTTGGTGCATAAAGAAGATCTGTAAAGTTGCAAAGACTAAAGTCTCAAATCCAAAGAGATATTCTTTATAAAAGTAAAATTTTAAAAACTTGCTACGTGTACTGCATTAAGCTAACTGAGACTTGTTATAGCACTTGCATATCATTGCTCTTTTGTTGATTTTGATCGCTTCCATTGTCCTCAATTTGTAAGTCGCTTTGAATAAAAGCATCTGCTAAATAACTAAATGTAAATATATTTGTTTTTTGAAATGTAACATGAAATAAAGTAAATTAATACAAACATGAAGCAGAACAATTTAGTTTGTTCTCCTCTAAACCAACGATATATAGCTTTACCTACAATTTAAATACAATAAAAATAAATCGTTGAAGCAAACAGAAAAAGGAAATTAAGAAAACACGAAATTATGAGAACACAACAAAACAGATATATGATTTTTCTTTATTTTATAACTGCATAGAAAAGTTAAACTCTTTGTAGCAATAGATGAGAATTATATAAACTTCTAGGTTTGTTGTTTGTATAATTTTGATTTGTAATGTACAGACAAGTCTAATTATTGATGCTCTTCAAATGAAATAGTTTTATATAATTATAGATATAATCTGTTGTCACAATATAAATGTAAAAACAATAAGTCCCACCCATATATGGATATTTTCCAAAAAGCCTATATGCATATTCCAGATAATGTCCATCTTCAGTTAGGACGGCGTCAGATCCAGACCGTCCCCAGCGCAGGACCTTCTGTTGTCTCCGTAGTCATAGCGGAGCTCTTCGCCGGGCTGAATGTCCCGTGTGGCCATGAAAACTATGAGCGGTTCATCCTCCACAAAGTACAGTCTAGGACTGAGATTGGCGCGTCTGGCAGAGTGTTTCATTTGTCTGCCAAACGTAGTTTTGTTTGGATGGCACTCGCAGCGCTCCTCATGAGCTTCCAAACACATGTCCTGTCCATTCTTGCTGGTAAAGAAAAACATATGTCCAGCTTGAGTCTGATTGTTCTGCTGGATTTCCAGTCCCTCGTCCCTGGAGATCAGCCGGCCGTGGAAGTCACAGATCACCTCTCCGCAAGCAAACGGCCTGCTGGTGACGACCCTGAGACCCTTGCCTTCTCTGTCCATCAGCTGCAGGCCTTTCCAGCACTGCCTGCGGCTCATCCGACGGATCGATTTACTGTCTGCCGGTGCCTGGATGCTTCGTGGAGGCTTCCAGTCCTTCACAACTTCAGCAGCATCTGGCACGTTCTCCATCCATCCCTGCTTCTCAATCCAGCTGTGCACTTTGCTCTCAGATGGCTGACGTGGACCAAACGTATCTGCAGAAACAAGATGATATTAGCTACGATATTAACAAGATATAACTATATTAGCTGTGCATGTGTCTTCCAAAAATGCCTTCAACTTCAGACACTTTTAGCAATGTTTCCAAACTATGACTAGTCCTTACTAAGAGATTATACACTGGCTGGCCAGAAAAGTAGCATATTCCAGGACAACAATGTCAAGATTCATTGGGCTCAAATTGTGAAAGTGAGGATCGGGGAGCATGAGGAATAATTTGACAGAATGGGTAATAATTTTTCACAAGATAAATACATTAATAAATTAAGAAAAGGAACAATTGTTTTAATAAAGCTCAATCTGTCAGATATGCCAATGCCAAAGTTGATGCAACACCCAAATGAGGAAATCAGTTTTGATGACTTGAAAGAAACGACTTACAAAGTACAAGACGCTCACGGAGTTTCTTCTGAGTCACGCACCAAAGCGAGTGGCAATCGCTCTCGAATTGTCTTGAGATTTGCACCCGTGCAGCATTTTCTGGAGGTGCTGCATGTACCATTACTGGATGTGACATCTTCAGCAAGTAGAAAGCTATGTTTGCATTCATCCATTCGGCTTCGGACGCTTCAGCTGGACTAAAGAAACACAATCTCGGTCAGGATACTTGAATGGAGAACATGCAAGATAACATACAATAAAGACCCAGCAGGACTGGACTGAGGTTTCTCCTCATTGCCTGTCCAGAAGCTGAAGTACCTTGAAAGTTTCTCATCATCCGTCAAATGCAATTTGTGCACAGCAGTGTGTACAGAAGATCTGACCATATCAGTGGTGATGCTTGGGAGATCATACCTGCATCCAGAACAAGAGGTGGTTTAGTAAAGAACGAAGAAGGTTCATAAAAACAATGCCTGAATCACAAAAAAAAAACTAATTTAAGTGCACTCACTTGTCATGCAGCTTCTTTAGATCCTCACAGGGATTGTCAACCGGATTCCCTGAAGAGTACATGAAGAATTTCTCAGCTTCATCTAAACTGCATCTCCTGTGTCTCCTCTTGATCATCACTGAACGCAGATATTGGTAGTAA